TGGCATCACAGCTCACAGCAACTTCAAACCCTTGGGCTCAAGCAAGTCTCTTGCCTCAGCCTCCCAAGTAGCTGGGACTACAGGCGCCTAACACAACACCTAGCTATTTTTTTTTTTATTGCAGTTGTTTATTGCAGTTGTTGGTGGGTTTAGGTTCAAACCCACCAACTTCAGTTTATGTAACCACTGTGCTACAGACGTCGAGCCAATACTGCTATTTTCAATAATGTAGCTAACCTTAGCTGTATACAGTTGGTCCTTCCTATCTAGATGGGATTCCTTTCAGAATCCCCACAGGGACCAAACTCTGCAGTGCTCAAGTCCGTTAGCTGGCCCTCCATCTGCGAATTCACTCAACCGTGAATGGGGAAGGTCAGCCCTCTGTAGTGGGTCGAGAGCCTGCAGGTGCAGAGCCCTGAGATGCAGAGCTGACTATATTCCCATATTAAGTCCAAGAGTAGGCCCAGATACCTCACTCTGGAGTGCACTGCGGCCCTCTTCTACTAGCCCAGTTCCTCCCATCCCCATTGGACACTATACTGTGCTCCAGCTGCAAGATGCGCTCCTGTCACATGCTGGACAGACCACCCATGGTCGGCTGCTGTCCACTGCCCCCTGCCACACTGCCAGAACACTCCATCATTCTGTCCACACACCTGTGCTACCATTGACACTGCCATTGCCATCCATTGCATCCTACGTCCCCACTGTTGCTCGTAGTGATGTGGCCTCACCTTGGAGGTATCTGAGCCAGCCACAGCCCTTGGACAATGATTCAGGCAGCTGGCCACCCCGCTGAAAGGGCCATCAGCCTTTCACCTTCAGGGGACCTATTTCCTTTTTACTCCCAAGATATCTCGTGTTTGTGCCAGATGGCTGCCAGGTCCCAGGTATTCCTTGTGGCCGAATCCAGTCCCTCATTTTCTCCTGTGGGCTGGTTAGTTTTGCCCAGAATCCATTTCTCTTCTCTATTTACAGCTCTCTGTCTTCTATTTTCAATAAATGTCAAACATTGTTGAAGAAAAAAAGAATAGGCCCAAACAAGGGAGACATTCCAAAGAAAATTTTCTGTTTCTTGACTCTTCACCAGTAAGATCTGTGCTTTGAAAGGGGGAAGCTTCTTGAAACGATTTCTTTCAGAAGGATGTGGATTAGCCTATTGTCTGGCTCATGTCTCTTTTTTTTTTTTTTTTTTTTTTGAGATGGAGCCTCAAGCTATCCCCCTGGGTAGAGTGCCATGGCATTACAGCTCACAGCAACCTCCAACTCCTGGGCTCAAGCGAGTCTCCTGCCTCAGTCTCCCAAGTAGCTGTGACTGCAGGCACCCGTCACAACGCCCGGCTATTTTTTGGTTGCAGCTGTCATTGTTGTTTGGAGGTCCTGGGCTGGATTCGAACCCACCACCTTAGGTGTATGTGGCTGGCACCTTAGCCACTTGAGCCACAGGCATGGCTCATGCCTCTTGACTTTATTTTATATACCACCTATAGCTGAAATAAGTAAATTCTGATTTTTGCAAATGGCTGAAAAAAACAGCCTCATTACTTTCTAGTCACATCTTTAGGTCTCCTGGGGTGAGCAGAACATGTATTCTTTTTTTTTTGGCCGGGCTGGGTTTGAACCCACCACCTCCGGTATATGGGGCTGGCGCCCTACTCCTTGAGCCACAGGCGCTGTCCCCAGAACATGTATTCTAATCACTTTCTTTTTTGCACTTTTGAGACAGAGTCTTGCTTTGTCACCTTTGGTAGAGTGTCCTGGAGTCCTAACTTACAGCAACCTGAAACTCTTGGGCTCAAGCGATTCTCTTGCCTCAGTTTCCCAAGGAGCTGTGACTGCAGGCACCCGTCACAACGCCCGGCTATTTTTTGGTTGCAGCTGTCATTGTTGTTTGGGGGTCCTGGGCTGGATTCGAACCCGCCACCTTAGGTGTATGTGGCTGGCGCCTTAGCCACTTGAGCCACAGGCACTGAGCCAATCCTGGCTATTTTTAGAGATGACGTCTTGATCTTGCTCAGGCTGGTTTTGAACTCATGAGCTGAGGTAATCTATCCCCTCGGCCCTCAGCCTCCCAGAGTGCTAGGATTATAGGGGTGAGCCATCGCGCCAGGCCCATCACTTTCTAATTATTTTCCAATACTAAACTTGCCTTCCAAGTAAGGGGTCTAGAGCAAGGTCTGTGTGTAGGCAGGTGATGGTGTGTATGTACCTCTTCTGTATACTCACTTCTTTGGTTATTTGAGGGTGTTCCCCTACAGACCAAAGCCCGATCTCAAATGCTGTTTCTGTTCTTCACTTGTTTCATTTCAGCTCTACCTTTTCCCTCCTCTGCCTGTGGAGATATTTGGGAGTTGACTCAAGTTTGAATCCCAATGAAAAATGTTAGGAGTGGACTCCAGAACAGAGATGTAACTCTTGACTCTTATACACTGTATTTATCTGTAGGACTTGAACAGAAGTCTTTTCTTTTTCTGTGTGCGCCTTTTCTTTTTTCTATGAAACAGACTTGGGAGTATCAAAGCCGCTGGGTGCACTACACTGAGTTTGTAGAGAGGAGAGACATAATTCACTCCTTCCTCTACATCTACCGTGTACATTGGAGTATCCCAACTGCTCGAAGACCCATGGCGCGAGTCACTGCTGCTGCCAACTTTCGTGTCAAGATCACCAAAGGCAAACCTCCGGTAAGCGTATGCTCTTCCTTTTCTGCCCTGTGCCCTTCAGTGAGGCTACAATGACAGTAGAGGCTTCTCTTGTCAAGGTCATCAATGACCTCCCTCTTTACACAACTGAAGTCATTATTTCTGTCTTCATCTTACTTGGCCCATGTGTAGCACTAGCCCTAGCCGATCACTCAAAGTTTCTATTTGGCTTTTAGGGCAACATACTCCGCTGATTTGCCTCCTACGTCACAGACCATTCCTTCTCAGTCTACATTGGTTTCTCTGCCTCACACGAAACTCTTCATATAGGAATATTCCAAAACTCAGGCCTTGAACCTCCTCTCTACACTTCCTTGGTTATTTTGTCCAGTCCCATGGCTTTAAATGCCATCTAGAGCTTACGATCTCCAAATTTATGTCTCCAGCCCAGACCTCTTGCATTTGCATTTTTCTTTTTTTGAGACGGAGTCTCAAGCTATTGCCCTGGGTAGAGTGCTGTGGCATCAGCCTAGCTCACAGCAACCTCAAACTCTTGAGTTGAAGTGATCCTCTTGCTTCAGCTTCCCAAGTATCTGAGACTACAGCAATGATGCCCGGCTGGTTTTTCTATTTTTTCTATTTTTAGTAGAGATGGGTCTCACTTTTGCTTAGTGTTATGGACGTTTATTCCTATTATTATTATTATTATTGTTGAGAAGAGTCTCACTCCGTCACTGTTGGTAGAGTGCTGTGGCATCATAGCTCACTGCAAACTCCAGCTCTTGGGCTTCGGCGATTCTCTTGCCTCAGCCTCCCAAGTAGCTGGAACTACAGGCACCTGCCACAACACCTGGCTATTTTTTGGTGGTAGTTGTCATTGTTTTTTAGCAGGCCTGGGCTGGGTTCGAACCCGCCAGCTCCGGTGTATGTGGCTGGCATCCTAGCCGCTGAGCTATAGGTACTGAGCCCTGGTGGATGTTTATTAACATTTCACTTACTATATCAAAACTTTCGATTTTTCCTTCCAAACCTGACCTCATCTCAGTTGGTCAAAATCCTTGCCATCATCCTTGACTCTTCTTTTTCTTTCCCATCCCTCATCTAGTCCATTAGGAAATCTTGTTGGCTCTACCTTCAAAAATATATCCAGAATCCAGTGATTTCTTATTTTTGTGCTCCTACCAGCCTGGTCCAAGACACCATCCTTTCTCACCAAGATCATGTCAATAACCTTCTCAGTTTTTCTGCTTTCTCTCTCTTGTCCTCATCGTGTCTCTTTTCAATATAGCAACCAGCCACAGTGAGTCATATAAAATGAACCTGTCACTCTTCTGTATAAAACTTTCCAAAAGTGCTTCTTGAACCTTAAAGTGCATACAAGTTTACTTGGAGAATCTTGTTAAAATGAAGATTCTGCTTTAGCAGATCTGGGGTAGGGCCTGAGATTTTGCATTATTAACAAGCTTCCAGGCAATGTTGAGGCTGCAGGCCCCGAAGACTTTTCTTTTTTTTTGAGACAGTCTCACTTTGTCGCCCTGGGTAGAGTGCTGTGACGTCACACCTCACAGCAACCTCAAATTCTTGGGCTTAAGCAATTTTCTTGCCTCAGCCTCCCAAGTAGCTGGGACTATAGGCACCCGCCACAATGCCTGGCTATTTTTTGATTATAGTTGTCATTGTTTGGCAGGCCCAGGCTGGATTCAAACCCGCCAGCTCCATTGTATATGGCTGGCGCTCTAGCCGCTGAGCTATAGGTGTGGAGCCTACTTTTTTTGTTGTTGTTGTTGCAGTTTTTGGCTGGTCCTGGGTTTCAACTGACCACCTCTGGCATATGGGGCTGGCACCCTACTCCTTTGAGCCACAGGCCCCGCCCTTTTTTTTTTTTTTTAAGAGACAGAGTCTTGCTCTGTTATCCTGGCCAGAGTATAGTGGCATCATCATAGCCCACTGCAACCTCAGACTCCTAAACTTAAGTAATCCTCCTGCCTCAGCCTCCTAAGTAGCTGAAAATACAGGTATGAACCACTACGCATAGCTCTTTTCTATTTTTAGTAGATACGGGGTCTCACTCTTGCTAAGGTTGAACTCCTGACCTCAAGCAATCCTGCCTGAGCCTCCCAAAGTATTAGGATTACAGATGTGAGCCACCACAGCTGGCAGAGACTACTTTTGAATAGTGGGCAACTCCAAGGCCTTGTTTGATCTAGTCCTTTATTATTTTTGCTTTTCCGATACTCTTTCTCCCTCACTCACTCTGCTCCAGCCACTGTGATCTCCGTGTCACTCTTCAAATAAGCCAGGCACAATCCTGCCTCATGGTCTTTGTACTTGCTGTTCCTTTTGACTAGAACACTCTGCCTGCTTCCTCACCTCCCACACTTTTTGTCCTATGCTTTTTTTCCATACACTTTATCACCTTCTAATAGTCTATATAATTATTTTGTTCTTGTCTGATCTTTCTACCAGAACACAAGCTCCATGAAGGCAGGGATTTTTGTCTTGCTATAAAAATAGGCCTGGCAAATGGTAGGTGCTCAATAAATACTTGAAAGAATGACTGATTGAAGCCACTACGTAGACCATTAGTAAGAAATATGTTGACTCCATAGCTGGTATGAAAGGAGCCAAAATAGCACCTATGAATCTAAGAGAAGGGTCTTCAGAGAAGCAGGGCTGGTACTAAGCATAATGCCGGGAACACAAAGACAAGAAAACTTACTTCTCCTTTGTCTTCCCACTCTTTCACAAAAGATACTTGCACCTTGACCTGATTCTAAGGCAGTGGTTCTCAACCTGTGGGTTGCAACCCACAGGAACTGTATTAAAGGGCTGTGGCATTAGGAAGGTTGAGAACCATTGCTCTGAGGCCATGACTACATAGCCAGTGAGCCAACTATGTCTTACACTCACTCTTAGTACAAATTTATCTATTCAGAATTTGGAACCTGACTAATCTAAAGAGGTACAGAATGTGGAGATGTCATTTCTTTTGGTCTCATGTCCCTCTATCAGCTGTCTTGCTAACTAGCAAGGTAAGAGATTAGGAAGATCGGTGGTGATGAATAAGACCCTATCAGAGATTATATAGAGGTCTTGGGAGAATGGCTCTTGCTCAAAATTCCAAGTATAATTTTGGAGATGAGAATGGATGGGGGCCATTGACAGAATATTGTAACCTGCATTTTTGTGCTGCCTTTTTTTTTTTTTTTTTGAGACAGAGTCCCACCCTACGCCCTGAGCAGAGTGTAATGGTGTCCTATCTCACTGCAACCTCACACTAGGACTGTGGGCATCCTGCT